ATATTGCCTTCTGTAACACTAGCTCATCCAGCTTTGCCAAACTCCAAGAACATACAGATGGGGAAATGACATTTTAAAAACTACCCTTTACTAACACATCGCAAAGGAAAGCCATCAAGAGATATTAGCACAGGAGTAGCACAGGCCTATCAACACTTTTGCTTTCTGGTTCACTGGCATGTCAACTTACCCAAGGTACTCCTTTCATTGTTCTAATTCAACTTTCCTTCATTCAGTTATCATACAATACTTGCAATTAATTCAACTGTCCTTCATTCAGTTATCATACATCACTTGCAATTAGTTAATTTTCCTTTACTTGGGAAAGTAGAATTACAACATGATTGAGTACAAATAAGAAATGACCTTACAGTAGTTATATTATGTGATGCAATACACTGAACACAACAAACCTAGCACAGTGCACTCTGGTGAAATGCAATACATTCTGGTAAAAAGTGATGCATTCTGCTAAAAGGTGATGAATTCAAGAATTTGCACCCTCTTTAGATTCTTCTTAACCCTGATTACATTGTTGCTCGCTCGCTGCGCTTGCTGCACAGCAAAAATGAAGTAACAGCAGAATTATAAATCCCTCATCCTAATGTTTTAACATCTAATACTAGGGCACATTTTACTCACTACTCGTACTATGCTACCCACAAAATATCTGCAATTGTTAGATGCTAAACCATCAGATTAGGTCTATATAGTTTTGTCTCACAAAAGGAAATAAAATAAGGAAGAAAACTTGAATTCTCAAGAAAATTCATTTGCTTTTGAATTAGACAGTGTGACTTAGTATATATTGCTAAACATGTACTGTGTCCTGGGATGCAGGACATTAATCCAACTGCCAAGTGACTTCAAACTGCCAAGAATCGAAACTGTAAGATTTGGTAGGAATTCTATTAAATATAAGGGACCTCTCATCTGGTCGAAGTTACCAAGACACTTAAGAACGACAGAAACTCTAAATTCGTTCAAGAAGAACATAAGAAAAGTCCACCTTTCAACTCTCGTCGAGATTTAAATCTTAACTAAATAACATTATAATATTTTTAATTATCTACTGTAAATAACTATTATCTACATATGTAAATGTATTAGACTTTTAAATTTTTTAGTGTCCCCCATTAGCTTATAGCTAAAAACATAGACACTTAAATAAAGTTTTTCATTCATTCATTCATGCAATCACTTGTAGGGTTACTTCCTTGTTGAATTTTTTAATAATTTTTAACTGTGGCTTAATTTCAAGATAGTCATAGCCAAGTTAGAGCCTCTGAAGTTTTCCTCATTCATTTGCAAAAAAAACAGGTCTCATTAAATTAAAATACTTTTTGCCTGTAACAGTTTCCCAGACATTGTTGTTGGGCAAAGTTTGGGGGTTTTCTATGGTTTTCACTTTGCATAATTACATGTATTACTTGAGGAGAAAGGCTCTTTAACTTTTATTAAAAATATTAAATCCTAACCATGTTAGGTTTAATTTCTTTATTAAAAAAAGGAAACTTGATGAAGGTGCAGAAATGTTTCTTCTCTTGCAATGAAATTTTCACAAATTATAAAATAGTCATATTAAATAATCAGCTCTGCTGAATAATTCACATGTCAAACTGATTTTAATTTTACGTTGAAAGGAGAAATATCACGATACATTTTTGAAACAAATTTACTTGTAATCAACGAGCAATTCACATCAAAAATGTAACTCTTTAAAAAAGGCGTTCTAAAACATCATTCTATACAAGCCGTGTCAGAATCTTGGCCCTCACTATCATAAGGAATAAAGTGTCATTTGTAACAAAAAAATCGCCTCTTCAAAAGACACGATCGAACGGCGTAATCTAGCCTTTAAGTAGATCAACAAAACACACCATAACAAGAAACTCGAATCTTTTTCAAATGCGCTTTTATACATTTTAGATTGTCTCGTAGGTTCAATGGCAAGTTAGATGGGAGCACTATAGAGCGAGTAATCAGAACAAATACAAATTGTGGACTCGATCGCACCAGTTGGATCATGAACAAAAATTTATCATAAACAATAAAGAAGCAGCAATTGAAACACTGCATATAAAATAAGCATGTTTGGCAAAGACGTAAGTATGATGAACTTCGTACGAACCGCTTGTAAAGTTGGACTCCAGGAAGAATGTCTCAAATGCTTTACTTGAGAAATATGACGACCCAAACTGCGGTGAACGCTACAGCATTCGTCGCAGATAAACACGCCTCGATTTACAGATGCCCATTCTGGTCCTATTTATGAAAAAATGTTCAAATTAATCTTTAATCCCCGAGATAAAAAATGAGATCTACAAACAACACAACCAAGAGTTACAGTAAATAAAGTGAGTAATTCGCGTGCTACTCTTCATGCGTGAGACATATAGGCATAAACCTACCAGGTGCACTACAGTCGGCACAGATCTCTGTCGAAGGGCTTAGCTTCATCCTTAAAGACATAATTTAAGCCATAAAGAAACTAAAAATCTAAGCAGACATGCCTCAATTAGACATGGCGAAGCATGCAACAACAACAGAACTTCTCCCACTTCCCTCTTTACTTCACACTTCGCATATCTGTGGTCAGCGTTGAACGAGTCAGTCATGCGTCCAAGGTCTCAGCATGGTTCGATGAAAGTCCGGTGCCACTCGGTTGATTTGAAAAGAGCCGAGGTATTTCCGATGACACCCATGTGGTATTTAGTGGCCGGGCGTCGTCACGAAGTCCGGAAATTGTCAAGGAACTCAGCCGGTATGGGGTTTAACTACATTTGACCTATTTCCGAAAAAATATATAAGATTAGATTGTGCATATGCTAGGGCTCCTAGGCCTCCTAACGACGAGAAACCTATGTTTTAGTAAACAAATTTTTGTGCCAGAGGATGAAAAAAGGCGATTTGCCACAAGCTTCGATACTGTGTATCATGGACCCAAGCTTTTCTTTCTAGAAGAATTTGTGGGGGAAGGTGGAGATAATAAATAGATGATAAGTAAACAGTCAAAGAAGGTACCCCTATACCTTTTACGTGGAGCGTGATTGGGCGATTTTTTTCCTCGTGAATCGTGATTTGATTTTTAATATTCGTGAATCGTGATTTAGGATGATAAGATCTTTTCATATCCACATGAACGAATTTTTTATCCAAAAGTCACCCGTGAATAAAGAGCTAAATTAAACAGGATTCGTGGACCATTTTGTCTTGCGTGATGAATTTCCGGCTATTATGTATGTTTTTCGCTATTACTTAAATAGCGCTATCTACTGAGAGGATCGTGCATCATATGTATGTAAGTATTGTTCTTAAACGGCTGTGGTTAGGTAAAGCGTTCATGTTAGGTCCATATCATGTCCCAACTGATAACTAATACATATTATTAAAAACTGGATCATTGGATAATGCAATTCAAGACTTTTTATTGGCTTAGTGATCATGGTATATGAGCCAATGTACCATAGTCTACAAATATGGTAAGCGTACGCGTCAGCTTAAAATCAAAAGGGATCTAAAAAAATCCGGTTTCTTCTTACAAAATAATAATTTCTTGGGGGCGTTTTTAATAAAACAATTATGCCACTCGCGTTTGTTGGATATGAGATGATTATAGCCAACTCG